ATCACCAACACCTTGAATTGGGCCCGGACTTCAATCGGGAGCCAGTGGAGCTGATGGAGAACTGGGGTTATATGAGAACAATGCCCAGTCCCCGTCAGCAACCTGGCAGCTCTATTCTGCACCAACTGAAGTATCCGGACCGTCTTCAAGGGCAGCCCCACGTAGAGCATGTTACAGAAATCCAACCGGGAAGTAACCAATGCATGTGTCACTGTCGCCAGGCAGTTGTTCTCCAGGAAGGGACGCAGCTGATGGATCAGCCGAAGCTGAAGGAAAGCGCTCCTCGCCACCACTGTCACCTGGGCTTCTAAAGACAGCTCAGGGTCGAGGAGCACTCCCAAGCTGCGGGCCCTGTTCAGGTCAGAAGCTGTAAACTAAGTAAATCTTATTCAGGCGGAGCGTAAAGGGATATTTCATATGTCCTCCAGAATCAAAAGGAAGCAGCACTTAGGAGCTCTTGGCAGTTTTGGTGGTTTCAAGATGGGACGGGGTAACTCCTGAACTCTGAATAGGGGCCAAGGGAAACAGCAGCTTGCTGCAATGTTTTGAAATGACAGGAGATGGATGGGACCTCACAAGGACAGGGCCGAGCAAGCATCTTTCCCCATCTCGCCATTGCTCATGAGGCATCTTGCCAAGCGCACATCTGTGGAATTGACTGTCTCATGGTGTTTGGCAAAGCAAAAACGAATCTCCACCCATGTTCCTCCATTGAAACACAGATGCGCCTTCCAATCTTTGGCTGACGTTTTTATTCCTTTTCATGTTAGAACGATAACAAACCTCATTTGGCTTGATTAGCATCAAGAGAGGAATCTTCTCCCCCATTTTCATTATTGCCAGACGTTTTCTCCTGTACAGCCTTTGGAAATGGATTTTCATTTGGGGGAAAAGAGAGTTAAGAGGGAGGGTGACAGATGTTTATAACACAATGCATGGTGCAGAAAAATAAATTGTCTCTTTTTTCTTCTTTTTTCCCACTCGTAATATCAGAAATGAGAGTCGTCCAATCAGATGGGTGGGTAGTTAAGTCGGGATACACAAAAGATAAGATGTCTTCGCACGAGGGATAATTACACTACAGAATTCACTGCCAGAAGGGTGTAAACATCATTTTGTCCCTGATTGCTTTATTTGATCAGATATAAAGCTGGCA